GCTGTTAGTTCATCATCAGTCATCACTAATTTAAATTTTTATTTTAAAAATTTCTATGTGATGTTTTTAGAATACTTCTTTTGATGAATAGTAATGTTTATATATTTTTCATAACTATAGTTTTTTATTGTACAAGCTATACTTATAGTATTAGAAAAAAAAGCAAAAGTTTGCAAGTAGGTGCCTCTCTGCAGTTCATTAGATGTCGAGTGAGTCACTGTAATGATTGTATTCAATTTAAATTCATAATTTCAATGATAAATTATTGTATATGAAAAATAGTTCTGAGCGTAAAAAGTTTATTAGTACATTGCACAATATATTTTTCAATGTATGAGTAGCTATTAAAATCATTTATTTTACTATTAGTATTGCAGTATAAGTTAATTTGATTTTGGCCAAAAACATTGCATTTATTTTATTGCTATAATTTATAATAGTATATATTCTTATTACTTATTATTGGTAGTAACTTTTAATATACCATCTACTCACTGTAGAGTGGTGAGAAAATATTCTTACTGTTTATGGTATATACATAGACGGCTACATGCTAAGTCCCAATCAAACCTTTTAGAACAAATTGAGTCCTAGGTTATTTAAAATGTTACTTGTTCACAACTCGATGAATATAGGTGATGATGAAATAACATTTTTTAAATTGGTAAAAATGTATGTGATAAACATTGTGTGTATGAATTCAAATTTCTTTGATTGCAACAGCTGCATCTATCCTTCGATAGCTTTTTCTATGTTTTTGATATTATTTCTTGTATTAATAATATCAGTACTTCTAATTTTGATGTGTGTTTCGCATTGTGCATTTAACAATAAATTGATAAATATTTGGATTGGCTGAATAAAATTAGCATTACATTTTGAATGGAAGGACTCACAACTTTTAGAGGTCTTGCCAATAAATATGTAAATTAGGCCTACATTTCCTGGGGATATTGTGAGCTTTCGGCTATGTAATTTTCTAAAATACAATCAGTAATGCATTCTTAACGATAATCTGGAAGAAAAATAGAAATTAACTATTAAGTCATCGGTGAAACAATCATTGACATTTGGCGGATTTAATGAAAACCCAAAAAATGTTTTTATGTTAATCAATTTCAAAATTTTTCTTTTTGTATTCATAAACTAGACCCAATAATTGGAACTTTTAAGTCGCGTCAATATATATTATATCGCAGGCAATGAAAAATTTTAAATTAATAGCACATGAAAATATTATTTTATTTTTAGTATCGTTATTGATCGATTTAATAAATAATTCTCCTTTATTTGTCTATGGATTAAAATTAAAAAAAGCTGCATGTAATAATTCTAATAAGTTTTTTGATAAATTGAGTATTATAAATGTTCAAGTATGATATTTTTTTTTTCAGAATTAATTTTAAGCCATAGATATTTAATGTATCTGTATCATTTTCTCTCAGATCTTTATGAATAATATTTGAAGGTCTCTCAATTGAATCATCTAATGCTAATTTTCTGTCTATTTATTAATGATTCGTTCTGTTTTTCGTGATTATGGTTTATAGACTTCTCAGTAACAGTATTAAATTAATTTAATTTAAAAAGCGCCTTAAAGTTATTTTTGCAACAATTCCAGCGTTAGTGATTTTTTGATAGGTAAATGTTTATGAAAACGAAATGTGTGTCCATCGGTCAAAAAAACATTTATATTTATTTTAATTAACATAACTTCATCTATTGTACTCGATGTACCTCGTAAACTAGAGTATATAATATAATAATATCGGCAAACTGTATAATTATTATACTAGTGACGGTAAAAATAAAATTTAAAATTTCCAGCCTATATATTATGTATGTTACTTAATTGGAATAATCTTGTTCAGATATTGGGACTCAATAAATATACAGTGAAATAGGCAATAGCTTAAAATTAATTTAAATTTCATTGCCTAGAAGTAAATAAAATATGATAAGATATCTACTTAAAAGTTTCAAGTCTCCACGGCTACTGTTTTTTGAATTATAACAAAAAAATTGAAATTGTTATGTTAATTCGCTAAGTTTACAATTTCATCAAAATTTGTACTTAAAATGTCTGTTAAAATATTTGTGTTTCTACATTTTTTGGTTACAATATGAATTATGTATTTCAAGTCTTCTTAGCTATAAAATTGAACATTTTATACATTTTTAACTACGAAATAATTTGCAAATTTTCACGATTTTGACAAAATTTAATGTTGTCAAACGCTGAATCTAATTTTTTTATTATTAAATATGATTCACTTTTTTTAAATTTCAGAAATAAAGACTTATGAACAATCTTGGATAATATTTTTTAATCTTACGGCCGAGTAAAAACTTTTTAATCGATAATTATTGAAAAAAAATTTAATAAATCCACTTTTCTGTAAATAGACCAAAAAGACTTAATATATTTTGTAAATTATATAATGTTAAAAAATTTCATGAAAATTTAAAATATTCACGACAATTCATTTTTGAATGAGCACTCACATCATTGAGTAATTAATAAAGTTATCGTTTCGTTTAGAATATAAAACTTATGTATAAAACCATTAAAATGCTATTATTATTTGTGTTAAAAAAGCGTCCATCAGTTTCAATATAAGAAATCTGTGAATTATATAAAAAGTTCTTCTTTGACTTTTGAGGTGCATATGCAATGCAATGCACTTGCATTAATAAGCATTCGACTTCAACGCCCTTCTAAAAGTTTTAAAATTTCAGCTAAACAGATGCCACTGTGTCTGCCGGCTGTATAATATAGGTACTAAATGATAAATAAAACAATTGTTGAACATCTACATTAACGAGTTCTATAATCTATATGATTCCATTTACATGTATAATAATAAAATCATTAACCACAGCCCACCACACTACTATTACATATACGTTACACAATTAAATAGTTGGTAAGTACCTACAAATTACATAGTATATATTCTTCTCGATCGCGTTAATCGAAACAGGTATAACAATTATACGATTTAAAACACGCTATATTCCACTAAAATATTCAATTTTACTTAGCTGTCTACGTCAACATTTTAAAATTTTTAATAATCAATAACTTCCTTAATATAATAATAATACATATATATGTGTATGTATATTTATAATAGCTATATACTTTAATCTAGTATCGAATGTATGTGTAATAATTTTACGATAATCAATATTAAATTTGGTTATTACATTACAACGATAGCTTAAAATATATTACGATTGACAAGTATCTATAAATGTTTATTAAAAATAATAATATTTTGTAGGTAATTAGTAATTTTCTCAAATGCGATTATTCTGTTCCATAGTACCTGCCCATAATCAGTTACCAGTTATTAGGTATACCTTAAGTATGTAATACAACACGTAACGTAAATCACGAATTTCCGTAATGAAATTACTTTTAAAAAGTCATTCAACCCAACACTGCCTATAATTAATGTGTCGACAAAAACGTGAAATCTCGTTGCATCTAATCTAAAAATATATATATTTATGTTTATACATAAATAATCATATATATTTTATAAGCCACAAATTGTAAAAAAATTTTACAATTTTGTGTTGTCACGTATTTCTTAAGACTTTTTCACTCGACTACGGCATGGAGAGAAAAAAAGCATGATGTTATGTATTTGTTTCACGTCACTCTGACTCGAAAACATTAAAATGTTTTCAATACGACGCGTGTATTGCTTACTTACGAGTTTCATATAAGCACGTGACTGTACGCGAGATAAGACTTATAAAAGATGATATCAAACAAAAAAACATCTAAAAAAGAAACCTGGAGTATAGGGAGGTACATTCTATCTCGTCATTCCAGAAGAAGGGAGTGGATTTGATCGTGTTAATTTTTTTAAATGCCTGCCGTGCGAATCTTTGGGATAGGACAATCAAACTACGTTTTACCGTAACAAAAAAAAAAAAATGTTTTATTTTATTTATATCAAAAACCTTATTTTCAATATTATTGGCTGTGTAATTATTGTACGTATTAAAATGTGTTTACGTCACGCAGTCATTTTATAGGCAAATATACAAGGGTCACCAATAAACGCTAGCGATACAAATTATCTATATGGTAGAAATCAAAAACAAGGGGAGGTACAGACAAATTTTTTCATTTTTGAATAAGACTCTGTAAAAATGTTACTCTCCATCAAACCCGAAATGACGCCACTATAGGCATAGGTTGGCATACTGTATTGCAGTTTGCTTTTTGTACATAAACATAAAAACAAATATAATCGTAGGTATATACTTTTTATGTGATGGCCATAGTCAGATATCAATGTGAGACATCTGGGACTTCGCTCACCAGAAATTTCACTATCCCTCCCCTTTAGATGGAATCGTAAATATATCCACGAAACATATAAATACCAATAGAGCTGCGGGCACTTTTACTTTGAATAATACTAAATAATTTTAATAATAATAATAGCCCTACTTAAAAAAAAATCCGTACACGACGGCGGCTACGTTTAATGTGAAAACTTTAAACTGACACAATTGCAATTATTTATTTATTATTTTTTTTTTTTTTAATGAAAAATGTGGGTTTAGTCTCTAATTTATAATATCTATTTTTTTATTGAAACATGTTCCTACGTCTTATCATTAGGTTGCCTACCTTGCATTGATTATATCCGAATTTGCTTATAAAAACAAGCCGAATAAATTAAACGAGCTAACTACATTATTCACGGTAGAAATGACTATAGGTACACCTACTTATGGAATATGATAAAAAGAAAAGTTATAGGCAGTGATAATCTTTGAAGTCGTCAGATGAATATTTATCGTATAACTGTGAATTTGCACAGTATTTTTTAAGCTTGAATTAAAAGTTTATTAATTAACTTTTCTGTGCTCTTATTTTATTTATTAATATTAATATATATAAATGTATGGTTAACTTAAAGAAATATTCCTAAGCCAAAAAAAAAAAAAAAAAACACCTAACGTTATTATTGTTTTTTTTTTTTATGAAAGGAGTAAACGCGTTTTGTTGGGATTTCACTTAAACCAATTAACAATACAACGATATAGTACTAAAATTAAACTGGCTATGTTCTGTGTTTTGTGATGCTCCAAAAAACTGAGAACAAAGCGAATGGTTTAGCGGTGTTAAGAGCCTTCAACTTTAGTCAATCATCAATTCGAAGTGAACGGAACCTTCGCGGTTTTGCAAGCTGCGTTTGTAAAATATGTTCTTGGCCCAGGCACGGCATTCCACATTGATCAAAGTTTGTCCTGCAACGAATCAAACAAAAGCTGTCGGTTAAGTTAGGTATATAAAATATTTCCATTTTTCTTACAATTAACGATAATGATTACAAAGCTATAAAGTTCAACTAGCGTTTATGTTTTGTTTTTCAAATCTTAGAAAATCTCAAATAAGAATCAAATGTATTTTACACTCTCTGATGTTATTATGCAATATTGTTTTGATAAGTTTTTAAAGTGATTTTGCTTAATAATTATAAGTAATTTTTTTTTTTAGTATATAAGATATAGATATTATATAATATTATGAAAATTAAAAGTACTTAAATATAAATTTAATAAAATTAAAATAATAAAATATGTAAGTATAAGTACATATTATAATATATATTTTTGTAAATTATATTTCACATATTTTTAAATTTTAGTATTTTTTATTCGGTATTTTAAAATGCGTATTAATGCTAAAATCTAACTTTTTTAGTGTTATTACTTCTGAACTCTTAAATCAAATAATAATTAATAAATAATATCTATGCCTACTTTAATGTATATATAAAAAAACAATGAAATTATAAAAATTTAATAATAATACCTAATTACATAGTAATATTTTAGAAATGTATATTGTAAAAATCGTTTATATAAATACTCAATCGTAACAAAATATTGTTGATTATTAACAAAAATTCATCAAAATTTGGGAGAAATTCTATCTTATAATATTAAATTACATGACCAATTATGAATATGGATACAGGAAAATTTTAAATTTCATTGTTATTACAATACAATTTTAATTGATTTTATGTTAACTTAACAACAACAAATATTATATTTATATTTTTATTGTTTGTATTTTAACTGGAAAATTATAGAAATAGGTTTTTCGTTATTAAATTTGTATGTATTTTCATAACGATTAACTATAGTATTGAATATAATAAACAAATAATAAATCCTCTTTGTGTTTATTACAAGCGTTTTTTACAAAATCACAAAGCATTCTTTCAATAGTACCTATATAATATATATATATGTGTGTGTGTATGTAATACATATAGGTACTAACTGCTTAATGAAGTACCTATTTGACTTATCTAAGAAGAAATGTTTAGAATAATTAAATGAAAATTATTGAATAAAAATATTTTTATACTCTTACTTTTTGGATTTAGGAAATGTATGGCGATTAATGGGCTAAGATAGTCGCGCTTGTTTCTGTACGGGTAGTAATAGCCGGGAAATCCATCTTGTGGATATAACTTAAGTGGTCCAATATTATCTTTGTCTGCTGGCGCTTCTCCATCGCAGGTAACCCATATTGTGAATAACTATAAATGTAAACATAAACAATAATTAGTATTGTACAATATTAAATATTATTTTGAAACAATTTACCTCATGTTTATTTCTACTCGCAATTGTGTTTTTAAGTTCTTGTGGCATGTCAGCTGGAATGTCTGTCTTGTTACTATAGAATTCTGGTTCCCAGTCGAAAATCTACGCAATATTTATATTCGAATAATAATCTTTACATACAGTGATCTTTAAAGATAAAGATAATATATGTATTATTTACTTATACTTCAACTATGCTAATTTAATATTATTAGAGTTTACAATATTTTTTTTAGAATAATGTGCAAAAATTTGAAATTCTTGTTAATCAATTTTTCTAAATACAAACCTTATTGAGCTTAATGAAAACACAGGGCTGAGCTTTTGGATATTGATATTTTGCTTCGGATGTGCATGGTCCCATGTTTGCCAGGCTGACCTCGCAAACTTTGTCCTTTTGTGGTGGTATATTGTAATCACATTTCTGTTGGTTACTACCTTTGTCTGGCAGTAGTGTTTTATTCTTATACACTGAAACCATTTCAAAAGACTCAGCTTCTTATGTTTGTGCTATCTAAAAGTTATACAAGCAACCTCTATAGAGGGAGCCAGCAGATGTGGGAATGCTATGTCTCAACTCTTTATAAAAAATCAGTTTTGAGCTTAAATCTTTAAAATATATAGACTAATTTTATAAATAAATAAAAACATATTTTAAAAATATAAATAATTATTCTTTAAAAAAAATTATTACTATAATCTCATCGCAACATTTTAACAACTGATTTTTATGAACATGAAATTTTAGTTAAGGAGATTCCATACTACCGTCTTTTATAAATCTGTATGCATTCCAACGTAGGTACAAATTTTAATTTTGTTCCGATAATAATTTTTTTGAAAACATATTTGAATTCATTATGAAATCTTTTGAGTCCTTCGAATCAGGATTTTAAAAATTTCTATATTTTTTTTTAAATTTAAAATAAGATTTTTTTTTAGAATATAAAATTAAAAGTTTGGTTCAAAGGATCCAATGTTAACGTAAAAATAAAATCTGATTTTAAAATTATTATCGATGTAATTTGATATTTTATTAAATTTTATTTATATTAATTTGATATTTTGGAACTCATTTACAGTTATGATTTACAATAAAATTTAAAAAAATTTCGATTTTTGACGTAACGTGACGCGTGTATATGAGTGTGTAACCCTTAACCCGCTCGTTATCTGGATACAAAATATAGACTTCATACGATAAATTCAAAAATTATTTTATAAATATTTTTCGAATAAAACTACCATAGTCAATATGTTAGGATGCATATAGGACTATTTTTTTAAAAAAAAAAAAGCAGTGTGGGATTTATTTGAATATTAATATAAATATATTTATGGTAGAAATCAGTAGGTTTAATTTTACCAGCAGTAGATATTTTTGTTCGCTTTGCAAGATAAGAAAACTTACGCCTCTGATTATTATCAGGGCTTGGGACTTTATGCACTTAAGATCATAATAATATGTGCATACATATGCATAATAAAACATAAAGATATGCGCTTAAACATGTGTTTTTTTTTAAATTAAAAAACCATGCTTGTAAAAATGAAATTTAAAAAAAATGAAATGTGAAATGTCGAGTCACAGTATTTATTATTGCCTTATCGGCATTATTGCAGATGAAACTATAAGATAAAATTAATTTAGAATGAACAATTTATATTATATATACACATTTGTTTTCTAAATAAATTTTTTATAACGCGTCAAAAAGAAAAATTGTACATTAATATTATTCATTTTTTTTTACAAATCAAATTTAAAAAATATATAAATTTATCGAATATTCAATAAAAACGAATAAATCTTTGCAATATGCATGTGAAGAAAAAAACCTAAAATATGCAAAAATATGCAATACAAATTTTTGAATTTGAAATCCTTGTGTTAAAATACAAATATGTATCGAATCCGATTTCTTCTATTTATTTCCCGAACAAATATGCAAATGCATTAAATCCCGAACCTTGATTATCATATAATTATGTGGTATTTTTTTTTTTTTTTTATACTGACCAGCTAGGAACTTGTCTAATTCATTAGTCCATGCCTCTACATTAGTTGCGTTATCCGCTGCGTAGTAAATTAGTGATCCATCTTCAATATTTGGAGACATGGGTCGAAATCCTAATCCTGTAAAACACATATAGTTTGTATTCATATAATACTAATACGCATTATATAATAGTATATAATATTCATTGGTAATAATTGATTAGAGAAAATTTTTTTTAAAAAGCATGGTACATCTTGAAAAAATCATATTACGAAGATCTCTCCTATTAACAAAAGTTTCCATTGAAGTTTCATATAATTTTTTTTTTTTTTTCTAGAGATTAATACTAAAAAAATTATCTTGATATTATTTATTATATAAATGAATATACATAAAATATGTACTAAAGACATTTTTTTAAATTTTTGTAACGTGATTAAATCTATGTACAAGTTGCGATTGTAGTAAAATCTATTTATAGTTTTAAGTATAATACAATACTTATTTACTTAATTATAATCAGATAAAATGTGTGTATACTAAATTATTAATAAGTCAACATAACTGAATGTACCAAAATAGTTCAAATAATAACTTTACATTTTATTTAAACGTATAATTAAATGGAACAAGAAATTTTGTTTACATACCAGGATTTGTGCCGATTATCGAGCTGGTCAGTGTGAAATGAGGTGTATGGTCGTTCAACGTAGATAATAGTACTTTCATGCATATGGCGAACATGCATGCCAAACTTGAATAAAACACGGCATAAAAGAGCAGAATTCCTCCTGAAACATAAAAATTATTATTTTTTTAAATTTAAAATGTAATTTATGTACTTGAAGTATATGTATATATTATTATGTAAAATGTTAATATATTTTGATTATACATAAAATGTTTAAATGCTGTTTTAATTTTTTATAATTACATTTGTACGACATATAATTACACTATATCTACTTATACATTTTATATTCAAGTTATTTGAAGTAGTGTTAATGGACACTACCTCTTCACTAATGTTATATTTTTTTAAAACATAATTAAACAAATTGTGTGTGTTTAAAAAAAAATATATATATCGACAAAAAAGATTCAAATTAAATATTATATATGATAATAATATTTATATTATAGTTTAATACCTACATAATATTATTGTATTATTTATATAATTATTTATGTATCTGTTATATGGCAAAGTAGGAATTTCGATTATACATTTTTGGACAAAGTGTAAAAAAAAATAAGCATTAAAACTCCAAAATTTCCAACAATGCTCGGGATTTGAACTTTATATTATGTTTATCACATAAATATTTATATATCTATATATATATATATATATATTATGATATCATACCTCGCTTGATCAATATAATTTCACATTATAATCAAAATATATAATAACAAGGTTTCATAAAGCATCATTGCATTCATACATATTCTTAAAACATAATAGGTATATTCAATTTATTTATTCAGCTGTTTAATAATTAGGTATTTATTTGATAATATAAAACCGTATAATTAATTAAATCCATACAAAAATTTAAATCCTTTTATTCAATATATTATGTTACTGTAGACTATAAATTTTACTCTAACTCATTTTTTTTATTATTAATATTTATAATAATATTAAATATTAATATTTATTATAGGGTTTATATTTAACAATATTATATGGAATTTAACAATAATATTGTTAATAATAATTAATAAATATTAGTATGGTTAATTCGATACATATATTTTATAATTTATACAATGTAATATTTGATTAAATTAATTAATTTTTTTGTATAAAATCAACAAAAATCAATGTTGATTTAAAAATGTTTTTTATAAATTTAATAAACTGTCTATTTATTCAATGTATTTCTTTCTTAGTGTGCATAATTAATTCTACCGATAGTATTTGTTGATTTTACCTATAACTTTTCTTAATTCAATTATATATTTTTAAAATAAAAATAATAATTATTATTTTAACAAATTATTTTTTGTGAATAAATGAAAATTAAGCATTATTGAATGTACCAATGAATTTTCGTTCTGTGTAAGTAAATACCCAATGCCCCGATGTATCTATAGTCTGCCCTAAATATCATGATTCATGAGCAATAGAAATCAAATTATTATTATGAAATAATGGACAAACTTTACTCGTTATATGTGCAGTATTATATGGTAATAATACAATGAAAATGATCAATTTTGAATATATCATTGATATGTGTACATGTAAAATTCTGTATAAGAGTAGGTAATACACGTAAGTGTAGGTATTATAAACACGTTTTGGATGACATGAATTTAGAACTCCAAGTGTCATAATATTGGTCCGTGTATTAAAACCTATGTATGATGATGATAAGTTATTTTTCTAAATTTTTTAAATAAATTTAATATTTTAAAAATTTCTGAACAAAGTATATACGAGTAGATTTATGTACCATCTTAACTACTAAAATAGAGCATCGTGCACAGATTTCTTATTTTATTTGTGAGTTGTAACTATAATACATAATTTAGTTTTTGTATCTACTATATTTTATAGACAATTAACCTAATTAGGTTGAATTCACGAAAAACATACACTTGATTTTATTCAAATATATACGAAAATAAAGAGTTAAAAATATATTATAATTAATAAATTGAAAACAACAAAATCAACAATGATTGAAAATGACTCAACTTCATAATTTTATTTATTTAAAATAAACGATATATAATAACAATTATTATAGTACCTAATTAAGTTTGTAGGGCAACATTTAAAAAAAAGCAATAAAATAGTATAATTTATAAATATATGCGATCATATTATCACAATCAATTTACGTACCTAACACTTATGTTCTAGATTTTTTGCTGCTAAAAAAATTAAAAGTAAGTAAATATTTATCTTTTTAAATATAATTATTAATAAATTATTCCAATGTGAATAGCAAATGGATTCGAATAAAATTAAACATAATAAATTAAATTATGGGTAATTATAGGATTATAAACATATAATATGATGGAGATCCTACAAAATATTATTTTTGGCGTTATAATCAAATTTACTGTTTTTAGTCTTAAACCAGAACCTTAATGCAAACAAAAAAATAATCCAATTTCAATCATTTTCTCAAATTTATGAAAAATTATATCTCGAAAGTACTTAGTTGAAGAGATTTTTGATGTAAAAAGAAGAATAGAAACATTTTTTGGTCCAATATATTTACCTAAAAACGTTCACATAATAAAAAGAAAAAAAAATATAATTTTAAGACCAATAAACGAACATGTAAATGAAAATTTTATGTAAATTTAATCTATACATATGAAATGAGTACTTATTATTTATTTATTTTCTGGAAATGAGAGTGGAGGGCCTTTAGTTTTTAATAAATTATTTGAGGGAATTAGCTTCCTACTCGATCTTTATCTTTTATTTAATTATTTATATAATACTCTAAAATATTTGCAAGTTTATAGAATGTATTTTCTGACCCTTAACATAAAGCTATGTAATTAGAGTTTACAATACAAATACTTATGGATTACAATACAAATACCTACGAAATACGATACAATTCAGTACAAATTTTCATTTATAAAATGTCATCTACGTTTAATAGAACAAGATGCATTACTAACAAAATACAATTTCAGTTTATTCTTCGTGAAGGTATTTAATAATTAAAAGTTTTAAGTATACATAAATACGTAGTTGTATTTACATATTGACCAACTGCAATATTATTCAATATAAACGCTTACTTTTTAATTACAGTTATTATTGGTGACTGGATAGAGAGATAAATAATTAATTGGTATTTTTACCTTATGGATTTTTTTTTATAAAGCAAGAATTACAACTTTATAAATAAACCACAACTTTTGATTATTTACTTAATATTAATATTTTTAAAACTTGTACATTTTTTTTAATGTTTTTTTTTTATAATTTTCTAAATCTAAAATGTATTAACAATTAAAAACCATTTAAACTACAAGCCACACTAATATAATATTATTACTTATTAGTAATTAATACATTTAATACAATTATACGAGTATATCCACGATGTTATTTCACTAAAAAATTTCGTCAAAGGCGATTTGCTACCAATAAATATAATAATTTAAGGTTGTGTTTAATATTTTTTAAGTCGTAAAAATATTTGTAATTGATTAGCATATCTGTATTACTTTTAAAACTAAATATTAAAACATTAATATTTTATTTTTTAAGTCTAATTCTGAAGTTTGAATATATTTGATATTACATAATATAAGTATCATTGTATCAAGTGTTAAAATATATTATATTATTGTGCAATTTTTCCATATTTAAGTATATCTATTTTTAATACTACGAAAATATATTATGATACATACATTTTCGATTTTTAACAAAAAAGTATTATAGTTTACAAAAATGTTATGGTTTCATGTTTAATTTACACATTTTTTAAAACTTATTTCATAATTTCATGCTTTGTTATTCCGTTCCTTTTGTTATTATTTAGTACGGGAGCACCGTAAATTGTGGATTTTAGATAAATAAAAAAATATAAAATCATATTATAGCATTTGTTTGTAATCTTTATTTTTAAGTATTTTAGATATTTCATAAAAAAATTAAACCTATTTTAAGACACGATTTTAATGTATAATCGATAAGAATGTACAGACTTGGCAACTTTCGTTGGTTTTTTTCAACGAAACGTAATGTTTTTAGGTTTCTGTTATATGTTCATACATATTAAATTTAAAAGTTGTGATATTATATTATTATATAACTTTTACTTTAATGTGTTTTAGTATGTATAAATAAATGTAATTTTACAACGAAATGACTCGATACAATATTTGTAATGTTTACAATCATTTTATGTATAGTATAAATGACGTATAATAATGAGTTGTAACTTGTAAGTTTTAAGTAATGATTAATATTAAAAAACATGCGTAGAACGGTATGTAAAGCAAATACTAGCTGAAGTCCGGAACGTCGGTAAAATCAATAAGTTATTAAGGCTGCAAGGGGAAGAAACCAAACCAGGTGATTTTTGTATTTACATATAATATAATATGTTGTATTATATATAATTTACTCTAAATTATTATATATCTATGAAGTATGAAGTAATGTAGCTACGATTATATTTTTCATTTTGTATTTCACATTTTTAATTCTAACTTCTGATTAATATTTGAAGTGCTGTTAACTCATACAATACAACCTATTGCACAGTACAGAATGAAATTATTATAGTTTTATCCTTATTGTTTGTAATTATTTATTTTAATTTTATCCCTTATTTTATTGATTGCGAAAATACATAAAGTGATAATAATGACATAGTTGCGAATTTATTTACCTATATGTACGCTAGGCATTATTATGATTCGATAAGAACTGAAACTCTGAAATGATGCAGTATATTTTTCTACTCTAAAAAACTAATCGAATTACAATTCCCTGGAATTTCCTTCATCTTCTCTTCAAAAATTGCACAGCTGAACTAGATTACAGGATATCAACAAGATGACGAACAAGGTTGTATAATACTATAGTTGATATTAGATGGTATAACAGGATATGCAGTGTAAAATATTATTTATAGGAAGATTTAAAACACTTAAGAGACTTAATAGATTACATTGTAAATAAATATATACTTATATAATATGATAATCTCATAGTTTATTCGATGAAACAAGACTAGCGGAGGTTGTTCTAAACTTAGAAATATTTTTAGTCACAGTTCTTTAAATCATGGGAAAGATGCATGCGCATATTGCTAAACACGATCATAATATATACACTATATACTTATATTTCGTGCGTGTGCGTGTTTTTCTTCTATTCTTAGATGTTATTGGCAACGACATTTACTCATATAAAATTAACGAACTGCACACAAACTTATGTGTGCGCGCGCGCACATACGCACACACAAGACACTACACATACATACAAACTCACTGGGCTTAGATTTCGAATTCACTGGAGAGCATACAATATATAATGCACAAAATATTCAATAGGTACGTTACACCCACAACTCACTGTTATGATCAGATCTTAACAGAAAATACCAATTAGGTAAAATGGATTAGAAAAAAAAATCTATCCCTAGGTACAAATTGTACAATTGTTTTTATCTATAAAAATTGTCTATCATTACATTTATCATTAGTATTAAATGAAATTATAGATAGTGGTAAAAACTGCTTAGTATATGCAATAACATTGTCCAACAACATATATATTACCAGGTAATTTTGACGTTATAACAGAAATAATTTATAATAATATGGGATCTATTGTCACGTAAAGATATTAATTGGTAATCTTATAGGAATATGTATCCAATCTTTTAAATAAAATATAAAGTATTTGATAAAGATATATTATAAGTAAATTATTTAAATTTCCATATTGGTAGGTCACCACCACTACGGCACTACCACGATTTTATATTAGGTATCGGTTTTTACAAGTCGGTACACCCTGTTACACGCGTTATTTGACTCAACTTCACCAATTAGCAGTTAATGTCACGTAAATAAGTGCATTTACTTTTAATAGTTAATATCGTTGTATAGTCTAAACGTAGTCCTTTGTCTGTTTATACGTTTTTACAACTTTCAGGTCAACAAAATGAAATAGCTAAAAAGGATACAAAAAAAAATTGAAAAAAAAAATAAGTGGTTATAATAATGTCATGAAGCATAGAGAAACAAGACCTTTCCAACCGCCGCCTAAGCATACATTCAATATGTACATAAGTATACGATTACTATTATATGTACGCGTGTGTGCATGTTTATATCTATATCATGTACAGGCGATTCGGTCGCGCGCATAAAAAAGTGAAAAAAACCATCTCAACGATGAGCAAATATACGCGTCGAAAGTATCGATCAACTTGTGACTTATGTCATCGTGAATGATATTTCCGTTCGTTTTCTTTTTATGAAGCATTTATATATTTGCTGTAAGTTATCTTCCTCGGTACAGGTACACGCACATTTCTGTCTAAAATTTGCGGCGTTAAACCATTTATTAGATACTCGGATATAATATATTTACCTAATGTATATAAGGTCTAGCTGGTGATCTTTGGCCCTGAAGGATCTGGGCTCCTTTTAAATGATAACGGTTACATTAAATGTACCCATTCATTCATGAACAAACTACGGTATAAAATAGTAACTATATTGAATCTATTGATCGATTTTGTTTGAGAGTTCCGCTGAATAATATGGTAATAATTGGTAAAAATTAAAAACGTTAAGTGATACAAAAAAACAATTGTTAGATTGAGTAAACCACGTGTGCATAGCCGTGTAAATCTATAGTATGTAATTCGAAAACGAAGTGAATTCAACATTTTTTCGGCCACCTACCTCCTGTGAGGAAAAGGCCACCAAAATCTATTGTAATCCCTATGACCCAATTACTTTAATTCATCATGCAGTTGCATGTAATAATTTACAAAATCGTATCGAAAAAAATCAATTCCGAAAAACCTAGATTCGCTCACAAATAATGCAATAAAAGCGTGTTTTCCGCACGGCACTTACATAGGTGATGTAGGTATTGCGTGTAAAGGGGTAAGTGGTAGTACGCACGTGAGGTGTGGTCTGGTGGGTTTATAAGTCATACGTGTGTACACCGATGATACGTGAGTGACACGACACGACTGGCGGTGTAAACGTGATTTCTTTAATGTTATCTAAAAGGGAAAACCCTAACTGTGTATAAAAACAATAAAAAAATTATCAGCTTTTAGCTATACTTTTATAATATATAGGTAAGTACCCATCATGTCAATCATTATGTATAATGATTAATGACTAATAAGCAATAAGATACCAACAACTTTATTTTTGAATCCAAAATGTGTAGAAAATACTATCTATTATTTAGATATATACTTCTAAGAGTATCCCTCCCACCCACAGCCACCCCTCGTATATTATGTCATGTGACTATCGTTTACAGACACAATTGTATAAAATAATATTACGTAATCCAGTTACGGTCAGGCGCGCTTCGTCGTGTTTATTAAGTAACGTAAACCTGTTATAAATAATATTAATAATAATAATATGTATATATATTCACCCCAACTCTTGGCGGACCGGCCGAGAAACTCGTGCGAGCTCGGGTTGTAAATGCCCATGATGATCTTCTGCCATATAGTCCGGTCATCCTTCACCTTGGCGTACTCCCATTCGTACCCAATGCCGTTGGTGTCCGTGTTGTGCTTGACCATGGTGGCGACCGCGCGGCTCCGGGGTAAGTCGGCGGAACGGAGCGCGACTGTTCACGGAAAGGGGGTGCTACCGGCCGAGGGATGCGGTTGACCCGAATCGGTATCCGGGAAAACTGCAAATCGAGTATACAATTATACGACCGGTCGGGCGGTGTTCTCGCGGTTAATCGGGTGCGGCGATGACTGAGACTGGCGTACGCGGGTGACAGTCAGCGTTCGCAGGACCGGTGAAAATGGTATCGGTGGCGGCGGCGGCGGTGGGTCGGCTGCAGCGACGATCGATGATGACGGGCAGGCGCGCACAATAAAAATACGCTGCGAACGGAATCGCCGACGTACATACGGTGGCGCGGCGACGACGTGCGAATAACGTCGGTGGCGATGTGTACGGTCGGCGGCGCGCCGTGCTCGATACCGCAGTGTTGCCCCCGCGGCGAACTCGAAACACCGTTCGCACGGCTATATAGTATACACATATAGGCACATTATTATACGATTGTCGAGCTTTTGCTGCTTGGGTTTTCTTTTTTTTCCTGTTTCGCATCCCTCCTCACTCTCCGTAGGGCTTACACCCTCGCGTCTACCTCGACACTTATACGCGAGTGTGAGCGTTGAACGCATTATGCTCTATATGTATTCGTAATTTATCGATTCCGCCCGGGTCGTGCAAAGCGTCGCTTGAGGTCTGAGTGTAGCACAAAGCTTTTAATAGAGAGTAAACAGAAAAAAAATTCCTTTGAGTCATACCTATATTATTCTAAATAAACAGAACTCAAATTGATATAAGTCAAAAGTACTTAAATTTTCGAGTAGGTACGCATTTAACCCATGTATTCCTAATACAGTTTTAAATTGTACTACTTAAGTCCAATAATATTGTAACATTCCATTATAGATTTCGAGTTCGGTTTACAAATTATTTAAAAAAATACGAGCTGTGCAGTAAATAACCAATTTACAGATAATACAACTTTTATTAGTTCAAATAAATCGTCAACCATACACCGCATCTTTTTAATTGACTAATAATCCAAAAATAAGATTTTTACTTATTTAGACCATCGGATTTTTATCGATTTACGATTTTAAAGGGATTTTATTAAACGAGTTTGTGGCACTGTATAGTCGTATATAGTTTTACCAACCCGATATAGTTAAGCCTAGTTCTAATTTCTATGTATAATATGTCTAAAAAAAAAACCATTTTTGTTTTGTTTGAAGAGTACTGGATACTTTCTTGTGCATTTTAATTTTCAATAATTATAGTACGAATATTGACTATTGGGTACTCCATTAAAAAAAAATAAAACGATAGGTTTAACAAATACAAAAAAACTTCATGATCTAATATACATATAATGAGTAATGATTAATTGATACAATAGTTTATGTAAACGTGATAAACGTAAAGTATGTCAAAATTGTTTGAGTTATACGAAAAAAAACATAAACTCAAAAGTCGCAATAATGGATAAATACAGGTACCCTACTATTTGCTCAAGTTATATATATTTTTGCATCTCACATAAAAAATAGCTCTAGTGTCTCGGTCAGTGTATGTATACAAAATACACATACACAATACTGGTATTAATATTCGGAAAGGTTTAGCCCACGACAAATAACTGCTCACTATTAAACATTGATAATTTAAATTTCAAATAGCGTTTTGATACAGCCATATGAGCAAAACCGCACCTCGAATCTTCGCAAATGACCACTAGCAACCGCTCTTGTTAAATTTTAGGACGGTCGACTGCTTTAGCTCGCTCAAATTATAAACTGTGAATTTCCAATACCTACTCATATTCACACAAAACAATTTGTCTGTCAGACTTCATGAATATATTAGTTAATGTGCATACATAATATTTTTCTATCATATTTTTACAGTAATAAAAATAATTATCATACAGTAATAATATAATTTAAGTATATAAATTTAAGTATCTCAAAATCCATTTTCATTTAATGCTGTTTAATACCAAACAATTTATAATAGAGATTCAGTAAAACTGCTGTATCTTGAGCAATATATGTAACTATCTACTCGCTTAATAACTATTTTATAAAATAGTAATAATTAAATATCTACATTTTTTATACATATTATTTATAAGTTCCTATTTGTCTATTAAGTACGCAATATTAGATAGAAATAAATTCTATCTAAAAAATATTTAAATAGAATTTAAGTAATATTGAATAATTGTAGATATTAGAAGGCAAACAAATTATAATCAAAAACATATATATATATTTAACTAAATACACAAATTTTTGATTTTTTTCTTATTTTTTTTTTATGTAGGTTTATACATATTATAAAAAAAATGTTTATGACTAAAAATAATTAAAAATTAAACGCAAGGTTCCTCATAATAAATGCAAAATTTTTTTACTATATTTTTTTGAGTGTGCCTATGAGTTAAAACTTGATATAATTCGTTAAATTTACGTAAATATATTAATTATTTGAGTGAGTCATAAAATAATAAAATAATGTAAGAAATAACTAAAAACAGTTATTTAGGTTATATAACATTAAAAAAAAAATTAAAACGTTAACTACATTAAGAATATTAAATTGAAACTGTTATGGTGAAGAATTTCGAATTAAATTTTTAATCTTTTTTACTATAAATAAAAATGTTATTATACACAAATCAAGTAAAAATATCAAAAATTTGTTTATTTAATTTAATAATTTATATTTTGTTTATCTATTTGTTTATCTATATATTATAATTTAATCATCTCTCTAATAACTACAATCATCCAATATTATTCAAATGCTATCCAATATTTTTTTTTTTTTATAAGGCAAAAAAAGATATACTATGGTTTTCGCGGAAATCGACTTTACACTTACACTTTATTTTTAAATAATGCGTATAATTTTTAAACTATAAATTTTGGTTTGTAAATACCTGACTATTCAAAAATTAAAAAAAAATTATAGTTATTATAGTTAATTATAAATTAATATTAATTGTTTTTAAACTCTTAAATGTTAAAATAAATTCCAAAATATAATATGATAAATTTTACATATTTTTAATTATTTATTTTTGAAGGTCGAGGTTTAAATGGACAACTATCTAAAAATTAAAATATATTGCATAGAATATAATAGTGTTTATCAAAACAATATGTGTCAAATGTTAATTTATGTGTATATAATAATCACTGCCCCCGGATGTATTTGGTAACGGTTTTTTCAAAATAACTTGAAGCTATATCTAGCCAATCATTATAATTGTAGGATCTAACATCTCAATTAGTTGTTATATTATCCATAAAGATCTAAATTTTTCAATAAAAATAGTATAATAATTTTTTTTTAAATAACATTAAATATAAAGTTTTACTATTATTTTCTAACTTCCAACCTTAGAGTTTGTTAAAATTTATAAATTTATAACAAATTTATTTTAGGTAATGTCCTGTGAGTAAAATCTAGGAACAAAAATAAACTAACTTAACTATAATTTGAGCATTGGATTTAGAACTGTCGAAAATATAAGGGTAAACTTTACACACTTTTTTACAGAATCATATAATATTACTTTAGTACGGATTATATTATATCAGTATCAAGTTATAATAATTCAAACTTTTAACGATTTTAAAATATTATGATGTTCAATAGTTTACAACTTTATTATATTAGGTACTTACTATTTATGTTATACAACATTTTTATCTGTGTTTATATTTAAACTTAACTCTAAAAACGATACTTTAATATTTTGCTAATTTAGTAAATTATATTAAAACTATTTTTTATAGGTTTTAACATATTATTATTTTTATTGATTTTAATATGCTGTTTTATATTTTAATAGAGATAAAAATGTAGAAGATTATTATTAATCACAGAATTTGTAGAATAAAATGCATTTTTCATAATAAAACAAGAAAACTCTTTGAAGATAAAGAATATTTAGCTTATTTTTTATAATTCAGAATAAACTAAATAACTTGTAAAAAGAAATCTTATTTGGTTCAAAATTTTTTGATAAAAAAAAAATAAATATGGCTAAATAAAGATAAATTAAAAGAAATTTACACATACATAAGTACCTACCAATTTGAGCGAACTACTTTCTTGATAGTCTACAAAGATATATCGAATTAAAACTGTTAAAATTTATTTATTTTACAATATAATATAATCTAGCTATTAATTAGAGGGATAACATCATAAATGGTTATTTATACTCAATATAAATAGCATAGCCTATAGGTAGTATAATACAGATAATTAGAATTATCTTAAACTATTTGTTTATAATTTTAAAAGTTACGGAAACATTTTCTGAATACATTTTACTGGTTTTTAATAATATGTAAAAAAATATTTTAAGTTTTCATTAAAGTGTATACTGACTGTATTGGTATTATAAACATGATATTAAAACTAAAAACCTATATTTATAATGAAGAAAATATTAAATATAAACCATAATATTATCATCATCTGTGTACTTTTTATAATTGTTGTAAAAAAAAATAAAAAAATAATAACTACAATTATTATAAATAATTCACGCATTGAAAACAAATATATCGTAAAATTTAAAAGTATTTACTAACACCATATTCTCATATTACTATTATTATATCACTTACTACACTCTACTCGTATACACACTCATCTGGCTTCGATTACATAGATATGTTAGAAAACTAAAAAAGCAAGACAATAGTGTATATTACACTTTTGTATTAAACTAAAATTTTTAATGATAAATTCATAAATAATTTTTAGTGTGAACTAGCTTAGTAAGTATTACCAAAAAAATAATGGTCTAAACTGTCAAATCTTATTAACTGAATCGTAGTATAGTTTGTATACCTATATTAACTACATCATTATGTTTTTATATCACACAATATTTCAATTTTAATACAACTTTTAACTTACAAGACATGAGTGCATGTTTTTAGGTATTATATTAGGGAGTGTTAAAAAAATTTATATCTAATTGAAGACCCATTATAACACATGATTATTTAATTTGAAAAAATACATTTCATTAAATTATATTAATGCATGAATAAGTTAAATATAAATCAATAAAAAATGTTAACAGTCATAAATACAGCATACAAATTTAAATTTAATTATAGCCATTCAAATTTCAAAATTGTATAGCTAGACTTTGAAAATTTGACACGAGTTTTTTAATACATTTTCCTTTTAAAAATAATTTTCAAAAGTTCAGTGTAAGTTTTACAATAATAATAGTTTTATATTATTATAATCAAAGTAGTTTAAAATGTTATGGTTGATTAAAAAAAAAAAAAAATAAATAAATAATGAAATTATTCTATATTTAAAAATAAATTATCAGCAGTCACAATTATTTTTATTATAAGCGTCTGAAGTTTAAATGATGACGACACATATCCAACGTATTAACATGTAAATAACATATTACTTTCAAAGATTTTCTTATTCTAAAAATATTCTATAATATCTAAACTTTCACCTAATGATTAATTTAATTTAAGAACTTAATATATATTGAATAGTTTTTAAAATATCTTAATTTCTCTTTGAGCTTAACATTTTCAATGTGTTTTTAGTGTTATACATTTTTCCTATGAAAATATCGATAACAACGTTTTCGTTTAGACAAAAAGCTCGGAAATTCAATACAATACAAGGTTACTCATAATTCATAAGTTGTATTAAAATTAAAGCTATTAAATATGTATAAATACATAAAAGATAGTTGATACATTGCATGATTTATATATTATATATAATATATATATACTTAAGCATTTGAAATTCTAAATTTGATAAAATCACAAACATTTTTCAAATACCTAAGTTTGTAGTTTAAAATATAAAAAAATGATCAATTTATACAGCTATAAGACGCTTGAAGTAGTTATTACTGGAGTCAAAAATGTTAAAAAATGTATAAGCACAGATTCCTATAGATACTTGAAATTTAAATTTGGAAATTAAGTTTTTAAATGAAGAACAATAACATTTTTAATTGTTTGTTTGAAATTCAAAAGTATTAAACTTTTGCGAATAAGTACTAAGTATGTAATTATTTATTAATTATTATTCATCTAAAATTTAACATATACTGATAAATATTTCAGAGACTTTCTCAATGACAAGGAACACACAACAGTCGACACCTATATTTCCATCTTTTTTAATGTTAAAAGTGATAGATTGGGTAATCAAGAAACTTAAAACATTCTATAATTATTTAATCCATAATAAAATTTACCAAATATTTAGACTTATTTTTAACTATTAATAGATATTTTAAATTTTGAAAATGTATTTGGTTTTTTTTCTATAAATATAATAAAAATATTTATTTTTTCTAACAATAAAAAAATATCGATACAAAAATTGTATACTTTGCAAAAAACGCTTTAAAATTCGATAAAATATCCCAGAATTCAGAAAATGTTTATTTTTAATAATTATAAAACTTGAAAAAAAAATATAAAAGTTTCATGATAAAAAATCTTAGAAGAATCTCAAAAAACGAATGCACAATTTTTTTTTATACATATTTTATGTTCAAATTCGGTGAAATCGGGTATTTAAACAATGATTTTTGTTGTTTTTATTATTTTAATTCAAAAAATAGTATACAACTTGAGATTTTTTTAATACCTACACATTAATATTGTCATTTAGTGTACACAAATAAACATTTTCTAAAATAATTAAATATATTTAAGCTATTGTCTGTTTATGCCATGAGCCTGTTCAAACCGTTCTGTGGTATAAGTACTTATTTACTAATAAGTTAATAATGTTTAGTGTAAGTATAGTGATTTTTAACCTGGGTAACATAAAATATCTACGGAAAAAGAAATTAAAACAAGAGAATTTTTAATTTTTTCAAATAAAATCGTTTTATTGCTTCCGTTGTCATATAATCGCCATGAGGTACCAATGTCGGAAGAACATACCTAATAATAGAAATAATAATTATTCACGCTAAACGGTATACCAAAATGTTCATAATATTATCTTTGTATTAAATCTATTTATTCATTAGGTCGGAATGTCAATAAATGTAAATTAATATACATTCAACAGTCAACACTTTAACTTAAATAAAATGTGTAATTACTAATTACTATTTTTCTATGCACTGTATTTTTTTAAAGCACTCAATGTTTTCTCTAAAATGAGCAGTTTAAATTTATTAATATTTTGATGCAATGTTGAATTATCGCAAATAAAAAATTCCATGAATCCAACCGCTGATTTAATATTACATATTTACAAACTGTAATAATAATTTATAATATAATAAATGCGATGCGTTCTGAAAAAAATTAATTCAATCAACTGTATTATAATATTATAATAGCATAAGTATTAAACCTAGAAAGTTTTATTTCAAGTTCAAAGTATATTTACATTACTTATACCAACATTAAGATTATTTACTTTAGTGTTGGATGTAGGCCATACCTACCTACGGTTTACCTACTTGTTTATAGTTGCACATTATTCGTATTAACCTTATAAATATTGCAAACTCCAACGTGTTCCAGGTTGAAGGATGAAGTCTGAATAATTTTAACACAATCAGTGAATATTGTTGTATGTATAGTTACGTTTATTATTAAATCAACCAAGTCCAAAATAAAATAATTAAAGTAAATATATGGTGTTAGCTAGTGAGGTGTAGCTTTAAGCTTTGTGATGTCGCATCTGACAAGACCCTATCAGTCTAGAGGCCAGCTCTCCTGGACTAGAGTGCTTGTAGTTATATCTGAATAACTATAAATGATTTGTAGTAGGTCATTATAGGCGCAAATAGGAAAAATAATTAGGGGGGGGAGCTCGAGCACCAGAACATTTTTTTTTTAAATTTATTATAATATGTAATTACATAGTTTTAAAGATATCTGTATTTCTCCAATCCTGAACTTAATTATTTATCATACATAGTATACATATTTAATGAAAGTATTAATATTAAAATTGTATAAACTTTTAAATATTTTCTTTATAAATTAATAGATTAATTCCGTTAAAAAATTAAAAAATTAAAAATAATTTGTCTTTGAGTGGCAAGATAATTTAACATTATCTATTTATTTAAATAAACAGGGATATATTTTAATGTAATTGTATACGTCTCTTAGTTTTTTCAAAAATATTTAAGATGTCTTCATTATTGATACAAATGTCCTTTTCTGTACCTATGCAAAATATTTAAAATTGCTAAACCTATCTTGATTCATACAAGTAGGTACACAATTATGTTTTTGTACATCGCATAGTAGAAAATGATTTCACACAAGTTGCTTTACTTACTGAAAGAGTAACAGCCAACAGGCAACAACTACAGCTTACTTGACACATATTGCAAAATTTGGAAATACATTACCATCTTATGTCAAATGCTGTTTTATTTTTTTGGAACTAGAGTTTTCACCCAAAATGTTATTCAAACAGACATTTCAAACTTTAATGATTAATCACAAATTCCAAATAGACAAGATTGAAGGACGTCGTTGTCGCTATCGTTCTACCATTCGTAATTATTTTCCAATTATATCTATACAATATTAATTTTTATATAATTTTACTACCTATTAGTAATATTGTTAATTGTAATATTATTTTGTTTCATAAAAATGATTTTCTTATTGGTGAAAATAACTTATTCTAAGAATAATATGCATAGGAACATTATAATTTATATTATTGTTGTTTGAGGGAGCTTTGAGTGATTTTTTTGGAACTAATTCCCCTCTATTTGCGTCACTGTCGGTCATCCTCACACACTCATTTTATCTCAGCAGGATGCATCCATCTGATGTCCTGTGTAGATACGAGTCTGGTGCCAAAGTACATTATTTAAAATTGTGTCAAATAACTTAATTAAATATATTTTTAATTGTCGTATAACTTGTATACATATATATAATGAGTGTTAAAGTGTACCCTGTTTTTTTTTGGGACATACACGTAATAATCACAGCTTGTTACATAAGCAGTTAAATAATTAACATTAAATTCATTCATAAAATAATAAAAAATTATCGGAAAAGAATATTACATATAGGTACTATACATATAGGTATCAATATTAGACTTCCAGTCAAACAGAAATGTCAAATCATTTTACAAATAGCATAAGTAATATTATTCATATGATTTGGCCTAAGTTCTAACGTTAACAGATTAGTTTTTAATTATTCATTTTCATCGATATTTTTTACATTAATTATATTTACTTAATTTACATTAGTGAATGAATTTTTCTAACTGTGATAAAATTTGAACTATCCAAAAAATAATAATTTACAATAGTTGTATTTAAATATTTTTCACATATGTAAAACTAATTTATAAATTGAAATAAAAATTTTAAATTATTTAAAAACTAACCTTTAATTTATAGTTTAAAAAAACTCTGATTGAAATACTAAGTCATCAAAATTTAAGTTATGATTATATTTTACTTAAACAAAAATAAAAATTTTAAGTTTTTGAAACTAGTTATATTCATACTTAAAAATATTTTTGTGAAATTAATTATTATTTTTATGACTTAATAGACAAAATTGTTCTTATAAATTGAATATTTACATTTGATCCATACGAAATACTTTTACATTAAATTCATTTATTACATTATTAATTCAAATTATTTGTCTATAAAAATGTAAATATTAATATTATTAAATTAATATTTTCTATCAATATGTTTAAAATAAAATTATTAAATTAAACAAATATTAAATTTGAAAAGACTTTTGATTTCACATTTTTTCATTTTTTTATTATTAAATATTGACTGCTTGCTAAAATGTAAATATTGTAACAACACAATTATAACTAATTTGTGTGAATTGTAAAAAGTATTGCTAATTTTAAAAATAATTCTATCAATTTTCCCACAGTATAAAACTAAAAAATATTATAATTAATATTATTTAAACAAATAACACAATTAAAAGAATGTGCATCTACAAAATCAAACATGTATTTCTGTACAAGTTCAATTACATTATTTATGTGAGAAATATTATACTAATTTGAATTTTTAAATTCATCATAATTGTAATGTTTGATTGGAAGATCAAATTTAATGAATCCCCAGTCTTTGGCTTTTTTTACGGCAACTATCAAATTTTCATGTTGTTTTTGGCAAATTCCAGTTAATCTGTAAAAAATATAAATATATATTTATCATATAAATTAGCGAGAAGATTATCAATTAGCTATTATTATTTAAAAATCTAATATTACTCATTTAAAACAATTATAAAAATTTTATTTATTTTATTTATACCTCTGCAATGTAAATAAAAATTAATTTAAATGTTTAAGTATCTTAGATCAATATAGTGATCTACATTAGTTTATTTTATCACTTTTTAGTTATAGTATGTTAGATAGTGGTTAAAACTATTCTAAATATCATACAATAGTGTTAAATATTTTATTTTCTCTTATTTAGAAATACTATGAAGTAAACTACAAATAAAATACATAACTATACATTTTAAACCTTTATAATATAAGTTTCAGTATTCAAACATGATACATTTATTAATAAATAATATTAATAATATTAGTACAACTATCTTTAAAACTTTTATTATTCAAATAATAAAAACTATAAAAATAATATCAAATGAGTTTTTTTTTTCTTAAGCCAATATACCAATTGAATTATTTATTTTATATAAAATCCTAATTTAAAACTAATATACATACTTGTAGGATAATAATTTTCCAGAATACGGAGATATGAATTGTTTGAGCAAATCCACATTTCTGTAGTCGAGTATGAGGTATTCGTCACGACATATTGGACATGGATTACCAGTTGCAATCATATCAGATCTCTAAATAAGAATAATACATATGATTATATACTAGTACTAAAAACGACTTAAGTATTTTATTTTATTTACAACTTACAATACACATTTTTCTAGTTTTTTTTGGTGGAATACTTCCTTTGTGATTTCTGCGATATTCTTTCCATACGGGATCATTTCCATACGTGGATTTATACGCTATAGATTAATAAAAAATTATAAAACTATACTTATAATAATTACTTTAAATTAAAACCTATGTAATTAGAAAAATTATAATATACCAAATTTCAATATACTATTTTAAGTATAGTTAAACCCATTCTTTATCTTATTAATTTCAGTTCTAGATTTTATTGCTCAGTAATAAAATATAATAATAAATTATTCTCTACATTTATTTATAATTTAAATATCTTTTGTTATTCTAAAATAAATAAATTAAAAATTAAGAGTAATCAGTTAACTAAAATACAAACCATTAAACCAAAACAACTTAAAATAAGTAAAATTACTATTTGTTAATTATAATTTTGATTATTTTTTTATTAATATTGTATTGTATAAGTTATTAAATAATACTAGAAGTATATTTTAAATTGTTGAAAATTTCATTAAATTTATTAGTATTTTACAAAATAAATTTACTAATAGCAATTTGTGAAAATGTATTTATAAGCAGAACTTAAATGACTTTTATTAATATTAAAGATTTAAAATCCAAGAGAAAAATGTATTGAATTCTTCTAGTGAAACTAAAGCATCATTTACTACATCAATAGAACCTACTTCAGAGGCAATTTATATTCTTAAATCTTTAAAAAATAAATAATATTTAAACAAAAGAAAAAATTTACAGTTAATTTGTTAATAGCAAAACAAATGTTTTAATATTTTCTTGGATTAAATTAACTTTTGGGGGGCAATACTAATAAGTAAAACTCAAAGTTGATGACTTTAAAATATTAAAAAAACGACCCAAAAATATATGCAAATATAACTTAAAAATGACAACAAAAAATGACTTAAAAATTATAAATATTTGTTTAAAATTAGTAAATATATATATATATTTTAAAAGAATAGTAATAATTATAAAAATTACTTAAAATTATTATATTGTAGATACTATTAAAGCATATTTTATATTGTCAAAAGTAAAAATGACAACTAGCAATTGCTTTATTCTATTGAATCTTTATCTTTACTTAACCAGTATACAACTTGTGTACAATATTATTTAATAAAATATAAATTTGAAATAGATACAGTCTATGTAAAAGAAAAACTAAGCATGTAAAGATGTTAATTAACAAAATCTAATTACAAAAATTTAACTAAAAAGGAAAATACGACCTAAAAATGACTTTAAAAGGAAAATATGACTTAAAAAGGCCAAAAATTGCAAAATAAAAATTACTTTTTTAGATTCATATGGTAATAAAACATATTTTTGGTCAGAAGAGTATTGTCTAATAAGTTTAAAAAAAAAAATGCAAAATGCATCAATTTCCGAGCTCTACTGATAGCATCTTATGTAATTTTTGGTTCATAAAAAAAAAAAAAATTCAACATGGTAATTGAATTCAGAGTTGTATTTATTAAAAAATAATCGAATAGAAATATTTGTTTATCATAGAAAAATGTTTATGATTTCATACCATCACTTTTCAGATATTCAATACTAGTTTCAGCTGGAACCACTGTCGACCTATCTTTTGGCGAATCTCGTTTCATTTCATCTTCAACAGACAATTCATTATATTTAACAAGACTTGTGTACACATTTCTTGCATTGTTCTAAATAGAAACAAAGTTAAGTTAAATTAATATAGTTTATTGAAAAATAATTAAAGTAATGTAGTGATATAAACGTACAGATACAATTTTATTTCCGATTGATAGACCACTTGATGCTTTGAAAAGTGTAGACGACAATGTACGAATAGTATTCAAAAACATTTTTATAGAATGCGTACTTAAAACCTATCAATTTAAATAATAAATTATATTGAAAACATAACAAAAAAATGTAAAATGTGTTTCTGGCTCACTCGTTGTTTCTTATCTCTACATAAAGTTTTTAACAGATAAGGTAGAACATATTATATTTGTTTTAGACAACATTTTGTTTTAAACGACATTACTTCTAAACTCTTATTTTTCCAAAACCTTTAGTCATCACTACACAAACGGTGATCAATGAAATATAATTTGTATTAAAACAAAGACAATTCTCCAAAATTGCATTTATTATACTTCAAAACATTAATTAACAAATGTACCAAATAATGGTATATTGATATGTCGTATATAAATTTATTAAGGACATGACGACGTCTATAACTACCTATATGAACTATAAAACAAATATAATATAATAAATAAAACTTAAAAAGCAATGAGTAATGGGTATCAAGGAAACTATAGTTATCCCAACGACTTAATGAATATGTATATTTTGTTAATAGTAGTATTATATAATACGACCTACCGGCTACCACCATATACAGCTATATGGGTAAATGGGGTACCTACACTCATAAATTCATAGAATATAAGAGCTATACAATAATAAAACACTCAGTAATGTATCGATAGGTTGACATGATAAGCAATGAGCCACGGTCCCATCACTCTAGAGGGCCCATCAAGGAGTGGATGGAATCAAAAAAACAGATCATCATTACCACAAAACTTAAAAATACGGTGATTTTTAGAAAAAAAAACTATTATCTTGTAAAATTTAATTTAGAAAAATTACTGGCATACTTATATACTTTTATAGATTACTTTTTGACTTTTGTGCAGTGTTTGATCGTTGACGTCTGCGATAATAATAAATTGTGGAAAAGATTAGAAAGAACTCATTAAACATCGCCAAGTTCAATATCAAAATAAATGTTTATTATAATGAGTAGACCACTTAGCGTTTTAATAATTAACTATCTACTTAACATTTTATAAAACATTCATACATCTACTCGTAGTAAGGAAATTTTAAAAATTCGTGTGTTTTGAGCTTAAAATTTTACTCATTTCAAGATAAACTAAAGAATCGATTTATCATTATAGGTACATAAATACGTAAGTACACTAGTGTCTAGTGATAAATATTTTCGTTTTAACACACATACATTAAATAAATATATACCAATATAGTAATGTCTGCATTTCAATGGAGTAGAAAAGAAAAAAGAAGGAGAAGGTAAACAATTTTGTTTTAATGTTTTAAAATATTGTATAATTTAATTTTTTATACTTTAAAAATATCATATAGGGCAAAATTTATATAGTAACACTTAGTTTGTGGCTTGTGCATTAATTATGTCCAGAGGTTTGACTAATTAAAATTTTGATTTATTTGTATATTTTAAGATCATTAATTTTGATTTATTACGTCAAATTAAATAAAACTTTTTCTGAAAGAAATTGGTTTTCTTTTATTTTTTGAACTATCGGTATCCTTTTCATTGAAATATTTTACAATTTGTTCAGCTTGTCTTTTCATATCATCTCTAGTTAAGATGTCTTCAGATTTTTTTGGCATATCTGTTGATTTATTTTTTTTTAATAAAAGAGAAAATTTCAGTTTTCTCTTCGTTATATCTGCTTGTATGTATTCTTGAACTTTAAACACATACATCGCACGTGCAAAATTTAATTGTTTAGAATCAAATTCATCCGGAATTATCAAATTACACCAACGAAACTTTCCATCAATCACGCTAATCATATATTTTACATCTTCTATTAATTTCGTTAATTCCTCAGAGGCAGTATCTAATGTATTTTCTTGTGAAATAAGATTCATTTTGATAAATGATAGTTGTTTATTATCGTCTACTGTAACCTAAAAATATCGAAAGAATTATATTATCAGATATTTTAAATGTTTAAATACAATGAACACTTACATGGAGTTTTTTAAGTATAATTTTAATATTATCCACGTAAAAATATAAATCATTAAACAATTTTAAATAATGTGTTTTGATTTGATCAATGTCAGACATATTTTTATGTTGATCATCTATAAATGTTTTCAAAAGCTCCACTTGTTTAGTGAATTCAATATCTTTAGTAGTCAGAAGTTTTAATTTATCTATAGTTTCTTTTTTACATAACTTTTCCTCGAATAATAAATTCCGTAAAGTTGTTCTTAAAGTTGTTAACTTGCTTAAGTTCATTAAATCATGTTTAGTGCTCTCAATATATTTAACTAAATCTTCTAAATTATTAAATTCTGATTGTTTTATTATGTAATTAGCAGCTAATTCATCGTTTGTTGGTTGAATATCACCAAGAGTTACATATTCAAGGATATTTTCAGGAAACTTATAGTCAACAGATGAAACATCTTTATTATTTTTTAAATTGTCCAAAAATTTAGTTTTTTCAACTGGATGGACATAGTGCATTATTCCAAATTGTGAAATATTATTACACCAAATGACACTGTTTTTTGTTTTTTTGTTTTTTTCATTTTCAGCAATAGTATTATCTGGAGCTGATACTTCGTCAATTGTATCAGTTGTCCACGGAAGTTCCGAGTAAAATGTTTCTTCAATTTCTGTGGGCGGTTTCTCTTGCATTAATGTCTTTCTAAATTAAATAATAAATTTAGTGACTAATAGTTATAACTAATTCATTTGATATCGATTAGTAACTATAAAATGTATTTAATTAATTACCTATTTAAAAATTATTCGATTTTCGAATGGTATTTTAAAATAAAAAACAAATAAATTGTATTAAACAGTATTTTGTAATACTGTGTAGATGTATATATATATTCATTAAAATGATCAATTGCAGTTGATTTTAAAATCGTACATAAGCGATTTTATAAAATTTTAATTTACCTACTATATTCCATTGAATCCATTATTGAATTTAATTTATCGATGTAAGATGTATTTTTACCGATAAACCTTTCTTTTGCGTCCTTCTCAGCAAAGTAACTTTTAATATAATTTACTGAATCTTCATTAAAGTTTGTACCAGTTTCAATTTCTTTCATAATGACCATAGCCATTGCTTTAGCATCGTTTTGTAATTGTTCTATTACTGTATCATACTTGATTAAATTTTGTTTTACATCATTTACCATATTTTTGGTTTTTCTTTTGGTAAAGTCAACCAGTGCAATTTTTTTAACTTTGTTTACAATTTTTCCCATTGTTGCTTCCATTTTTTTTTTTTTGATATGCTGCTGTTCACTTTTCTGTGGGTTTGGATGTCTTTGTAAATTCTCTAAAGTTTTCAATGCTGTTTTAAATTGCTCAACTCGTGCATTTGATACATGAGTAATTGTGTGTATAGAATTATTTATGCTCAATTTTATTTTATCTGGATGTAAATGTCTATATCTTTCTAACAAAATTTTATTTCCAGCGTCTGATAAAATTATATCTTTGAAATCTCCATTTGCCTCTTCAAATTGTTCATAATATTTTTTAATTTTTTTTTTTATGTCATAAAGATGAATTTTTTCGTTTAATAAATTAACATCTAATGCAGCTAAACGATCCCTCTGTTCTGCATTTCCCAATTGTGTAATATTTTCCATAATGTCACATTTCAAAATATTTGTCCAACGTTTATCTTCCATCATGTTAACTCGTTCATACTCATTCATATTGTTTTTCTTCAGAGAAATTTTTTTTATAAATTAAAAAAATATAAGCTTTTAAAAATATTATATTGTTGAAAATGTGTCGATATAACGTTTGTTGTGTAGCTATAAAGTATTATAATCAATTATAATATCTGTAACCGTGAGATAAGTAAATATTTATTGTAAACAGCTGAATCTAGTTTAGTTAAACCTCATTAAAACGTAATAACTAAAAAAATATAATAATTAATAATATTATACATCAATATCTCGGAGACAATGAAAAATATACAATGATGATGCTATAAAACTAATAACAATGTAATGTTTACATTAATAAATATTAAAAATATATAATATTTTATTAAAAATGTTTTGTTGTATAATATATATTATTCAAAGTTATCTACCAATTGTTTAAATAGAAAACTGGGATGGTATATAATATATATATATATGATATAGGAATAAACAGTAATATATCATTGACTATACTACAGTAGGTACACAATAATAAGCATAGGTCGTAAGTATTATTCTACCAAAAGTTATCAGTCTTATAATAATTATAATCATAAGTCATTATCTATCATAGAACATATTATGTTCTATTTTATTTGTTCTATAAATTGATTATATTTAATTAAACATAGACAATTTATAAGAACAGTAATAATATGTATATATATATATATATATTATATGTATATATTTATTTAAAAATATTATAGTAATATTTAATCATTTAGTGCCTTAGTATTGATTAAGTTGTTATGTAAGTAGTAGGTACATTGAGGCGTCGATGAATAAGCAGAGGATAGCATTTGGCAGGATGGTGGAGACGATACTCGGGCTTAAGGAGGCAGCAGTGCGCATCATATGGGCAGGAGGTGGACGGGCAGGGTAAATCCGTTTCTTTCTTTTTTTTCTTTGTGGGCTGAAGGCCAGTTTTTCGGGATAGTTAGAGCCCCCCGCATATGTATAACTAATATTGATAATATTGTAATTAATTTTTGGTGAAAAAACGCTACGGGACCAGGTGGCAGTATTGTGTAAAACAGTTCCCACCAGTTTCCGATTTTTGAACGGAAAAAAAATGGTAGTAAGTAGGTACCTAATATCTATTATGTGTAATAATATTGTACGTATTTAGATAAGTACTATTATGAATGTACATTAATTTATTTTATTTTAATATTAAAATTATTAAATATCAATCAGAAATTAGTCAATTTTTACTTTTTATACTAGGGATTTTTTTACTTGAAATTTATTTCCCGGGATTTTTTTTTTTCAAAAAACAAAACTCAACACCAGATGAACATTTTGCACGAGCCTTCAATCAGTGGTGGTGACGTAGTGACGCATAGCACCAAACGCTATCACCGGCCGCACCTTCTAAGATGATAATAATAACGACATAAATTAGTTGTTGTTGTTGTTGTTTATATTATCATTTATCAGTAATTGGTGTGGAAATCGCAGACAAAACGATTTTGGGCGGGTCAGCACTCAGCAGGTGCGTTTCCGCCTAAGACTGACAAAGTCTTCTTTTCAAGCAAAAATACAAATTCAAATTATTTTTATTATTTTGTGTTTAATTTTTACATGCCGTTATTTCCGATACGCTGAACTCGTGACTTTTTGTTGATAGTTATTATTATTTTTAACGAGTCATTGATTAAGCTTTTTTTGGTATTTTGGTCTGATCGACGATACGAAAATGAACTACGGCAGTAAAACGACGTTCATTGGCTTTGACACGGACAAACGCAAATTGCCACTGTCCAAGAGGTTCGTGTTGTATGCCTACGACAAAGATACCGGAGAGATATTTGGTCGCACACCGTCCAGTTGGGGTAAGAATAGTCTCTTCATTCTGCAAAAGATGCCTTGTATGTTTTTGTCCTCGCGTTAATAAATTTGCTAATGTATCATTCAATAAGATAATATTGATTTGTTAAATTGTTTCAAATGTGTCATGTTTGTGAAATGTTTGGTTCACTTTTGAGTTTGACTCACCTAAACAATTGAAATTCTGTTTAGAGTAATTAAGATTTGATGGATATTTTTTTTTTTAAAGTTTAATGCATAAACTGTACTTGGTTGATAATTTAAAACTTAAAAGTGATGTTGTGAACGTGGGAATTAATGTGTCATTAATTTTTATTGATACAGATTGAATACAGAAATTGATGCAGAAATTGGTAATATTTAAAATAAATTAGCAAACATGGTTTGTTAATTATTATTTTGTCAATGTTTCATTTAATTTTGGAAAAGTATTCAAAATTGTTTATTTATATATACAAATTAACTGGGGTCTAATTTGCAATTTAACCGTAAATAAATGATTTAAATAATCGTGATGGTTAAGTTCTTGACGAATATTTAACTATACCTTGTTTGTTTTATAAAATTAAGGTTGTAACAATTACTATGATTTTTAAGATTCTTCTAACTTTGCAATTAAAATGTATTCATATGTAATATGCAAATTTCAAAAGTTTTTTTGATTATCTAAGTAAATTATTTATTTTTTAGTGTTATGACTTTTAATATACTTAACATTTTTAAATATGATTAGTAAATAATAATTGATTGCCTATAATAAAAAATTTTACTGTAAAATTGTTAGACTGTACTCATTACTCATATAATGTATTTTATAATTTTATATCAGAGTTAAAATAATCAACAGAACATTTTTTCCTGATAATTATTAACTTTGAAAAAATTCTAGAAAATGTTGGTATATTTTTTATAAGCTAACACATTAAAATAATTTGTTCATCATTTTGTTATTTTGCAAAACAATTCAAGTGCCTAAACTCTATTATGAATATGCCACACCCGCATGTGTTATCTCCGCCTTTCATACATACAATACAGTCAATTTTTGTTCAGCTGAATTCATTTTATGTTGTTAGCTTTAGTATTAGAGTAAATTACTTATTATCAAACTTAAAGGTAAGAATTTTATTTCAGCCATTACCTGAGTTTTTATTGATATTTTAATTATAAAGTGAGTTATGAGCATTTTAAAGTTTTAATATTTTATATAACTTTAACTGAGTTTAAATATAAAATATCAATAAAAACCTATGTGATGGCCCAGATAAAATTCTTACATTTAAATTTGATAATAGATAAATTTACTCTAATATTTAAATTAACAACATAAAATTAATTTTGCAGAACGAAAATTTGCTATGTTGCATATATGTAGTATAGAGATAACACATGTGGGTACTGTGTCTTCTTAACGCTTAGAATAAACTAAAGCAACCAATTATTGCTGAACAATGATTAAGACAACACTCCTAACAAATTAAAATACTGTACATAATATATACTGTTTACTAAACAAAATTGCAAAAGTCGACTGCCAAGTCTCCTTTTTAACTCGAATAATGTATAGTAAAATATAATTTTCATTGTTTTTTTTTCACATTTCAGCCAAAATTGGATTATATTATACTGCATTTTATTTATCGCTTGTTGCTATGTTTGGAGTAGTTTTGTGGTTTTTCTTTCAAACTCTTGATCCACGTACTCCAACTAGACTTCTTGAACATTCACTAATTGGAACAAATCCAGGTAACAAAAATCAAAATTATTCAATTCTAAATACTAAAATATTAATATTTTACTATGTATGTTTACTATAGGTTTGGGATTTAGACCTATGTCTAACGAAACTCATAGCACTTTAATTCATATAAATAGTAAATCTGTTCAAGATTATTCAATATGGACTGAAAGACTTGTTAAATTTTTAGATGGTAAAATTATTTTTACTAAATATTTTGTATATTTATTAATTTTATTTTTATTTTTATATGGTTAAGTGTACAAGAAACCAGGTTTAACACCAGGAAGAGGTCAAAATATTGCAACTTGTGACTATGATAAACCACCTGGTAAAGGAAAGGTCTGTGATATTGATGTAAAAGCATTCAACTCTTGCACAGAAGAAAATCGATTCAATTTTCATCGTCAAGGACCTTGTATTTTTCTCAAACTAAATAAAGTAAGGAATCTAATAGTTACAAAATATTGTATTGTTAAAATTATATTTAAAACTTACTTATTGCTATCACAAATTTACAGATTTCAGCTGCTAAAATTATTAGCTAACATTATTTCTACAGATTTTTTTTTTTACATGACAAATTAATAATATTTAAAAGTGTGACTTGCTATTATTTACAATATTAAAGTTTGTTAGGTAAATTGCTTTAAGATGTAAAGGTGATAATATTTGTGGCTTTATCTTTGTTTGGAGTCTTCTTTAATATTGCATTGGAGTTTAAAATATCTGCATTTCAAAAATTATCTGTGGTATTTAAATATATGTTTGATTGTATTTTATAAGTGTTACATATTAATGAAAAAAGATCTTCACTTTTTAAAAAACAATGGATTAGGCAATTTTACTAAGCTTTTGGTAGATTTGAATTTATCGATTGATAGGAAAAAATCCCAGAAGTATTGTTGAATTCAATCTTTTTATGTGTGCCAATAAATATCATCGGCAAAAATGATATCTTTTAGGTTTAGAGATTTGAAAAAAGATATTGTTTAGACTATTAGAAACATTGTTACATTAAGAATTAATCTTTGAGTAAAAAAGTTTTTTTAGAGATAAGTATTTGTAAGTTTTGAGGTTTTTCTTAAACGATTTTTATGAAATTTTTGAACAATACAATGTTTCTATTTACACCCATTTATAAATAATTTAGAGTTTTCTGTGTATAACACTATATTGTATACTTTTTCAAGGTTTAATAAAGTTACAATAGTTTCAAGTTAATTGATTAATTACCATATTATAATTAATTTAATAAATTAAGTTAAATAATCAACAAAAATTCAAAATATTTTCTAGATTTATGGTTGGAATCCTATATTTTATGATGATCCAAATGACTTACCTCATGATATGCCAAAAAGTTTAAAAGATCACATCAAAGAAATAACTAATCCAGAAAAGGTTAGTATTTTTTATGTATACTTAAATTATCTGTGGAAAGTATAGATTATATAACTTTATATGATGTTATCTTGACATATACAACTCTTAATATTATGTTTATTATTTATACATAATAAAATCAATTAAAAATGTTGAAACGAATCTTTTAATTTGCTTTCAGTTGAGAACTGTATGGGTATCATGTGAGGGAGAAACTGTGTCTGACAAAGAACTTATTGGACCAATGGCATATTGGCCCATTCCTGGATTTCCTGGTTACTTTTTCCCATTTGAAAACTCTGAAGGATACCTTAGCCCTTTGGTGGCAATTCATTTTAAAAGTCCAGCAAGTAAGTGTATTTACAAAGCTATATTTACTATTTTTAATTTTTATATTTACTTGAATTTAGAAAGCATTGTTATCAATATTTTATGCAAAGCATGGGCAAAAAATATCGTTCATAAAAAAAATGGTGTCAACAAAGGATCTGTGCATTTTGAATTGATGATGGATTAACATAACTTCTAAATTTTATTATTTTTAAGCATGAATTTTTTTTTAAACAATGTTATATGATTTGTTTACTTTAATTCTAATTTAGACATATTGATTATTCTCTAGAACGTCAAGGTAACAAAAAATATGTATTTGAAATTATTAAGTATTTATATAATTATACATCTGGATAATAATCCTTAAATAATAACTCCACTTATACCATTATCGCATCAATAAAATGGTACAAATTATTTGTCTATTACATTTTTAATTTACATATCAAACTTTGCACATATCTATACTAAAACAGTTAACTTTAATTATATTAATTCTTTAGTTTTATTTTACTATTTTTATTATATGTTATTACACTATAGATCTTTATTTTAACCATAGAATAATTATGATTATGATTTGTCCAATTTATACCAATATTGAATTTTTTTATCATGAATTTCGTTATTTCTCATAAAATAATACATCCTAAAGACTGATTTTTTAACAAGACATCTCTATGATTTAATAATTGTCATCCAATTTTCATACTAATACGTGATTTTTTACTATTAAACCTATTTTTTATCAAATTATCAGTATAATTCATATGCTAAAATAAGAATGTACAATTTGTGTTCAATAAATCTATTAATTAGACAATTATTATAAGCGGAGTTTATAAGTTTACATTTTTCTACATAGTATAAAAAATTGTTTTGTTCATAGAAATAGACAATTCTAAATTTTAATCAAAAACTATAATTAAATTCATTGTGTATAAATATATAGTGACATAATTTAATGAAAAATACTTGAATAAAAATAACTGTGTTAATAGCATATGATATAATATGCTATTAATTGAATATTCGGATTTACATAAATCTTACATAAATTTTTACATTTTAATATTTACTTTTATTGAGATTTATAATTTCTTTTTATCATTAAATAATTATATTATTATTAGTGTATTATTTCAAAGAAACAACGACTATGTTAAAACTTTTCAGTATTAAATATTAAGATATTCTAAAAGTCTAAGATATATGTAATATCAAATAATTCCATATTATGTTAAAGTTTTCATGTATACCACTATTTTAATGTATTTTTAATTTATAAGATAACTAAGATTTTTTTATATTACCCAGTAATATATTTTTTACATACATTTTTATATTATATTATAATCAATAAATGATCATCAATTTTAGTAATTTTGTTATTTGTTTGATAAAATGTTGCTGTCATTTATTATAATATGATTTTAAGTTCTAAAATATTGTATTAAAATTATTTTCTATTGGTTACACATGACCACCAAGACTGAATGGTCCAAACAGATAAGTGTAATACTGATAATATTATAAATTATATGTCAAGTTTTATTAAAATTCAAAATAGCTAACTGAGAAGTTTTCAATGTATACAAATATAAATTGAAGTTTATTTAGTATTAAAACCTAATACTTAGATTTTATGATGAAACATAACTTAAATTGTTAAAATATTTAAAATATTTTTAAAAAAAAACCTCATACCAATTATTTCTAAAATTGGAGTAGTTTGTTTATTAAAAAAGGAAAACTGTAGTTTTTGCTGAATTTGTCATAAATTTTACTCTATCAACACAGATTTTTTTAAGTATTAATTTTCTATTCTAGTCAATATTATTTTAAAACTGTTATTATTTGTATTAAACTCGTAGATACTTAAAACTATTTTTACATAATAATTTGATTAAACTCAAAGAATCTTTTTATCTAATGTAATATTGAATCTTTTATTCAACCTCCAGAATGCTGAATTGAATTGTATTAAATAATTAAATAATTTAAATTAATGTCCTAATTAAAATAATAAATTATTATTAATTTTTTAAAATAAAACGAAACAAAGACAAGCAATAACAACTACAAATTTTTGGATAGCTTCAAAAATTAGAGATCTCACATCTCAAAGAAAATATATACATTAAACCAACCAATACTAAATTTTTTCAGTAGATTAATATACTTAAATTAGTTAAACTTAATAAATTTAAATTCAATAGTAATATTTGTTTCTTGATAAGTTTTATAAAATAGAGTAATCTAATTTAGGTATGGATTTCTTCCTAATACATGATAAATAATATTGTTGATTTACTTAATTATATTAATTTTATTAATGTTTTCAAATATAAATAATAATAAATTCAATATTTGATGATAAAAATAGTTATTAAAAATACATTTAATAAATTCAAACACAAAGGTGACACACAAAAATTAAAAAAAAAATATATATATATATATATATATATATAACTTATTTTACTTAAGTACTAACAGTCCAAATTGACTATTTTAATTAGATAAGAAAACTAGTAAATGAAAAAAATATTATTTTAGTGAATATAATGTAAATAAATAAATAAACCATTTTGTTAAAAATGATTTATTTTATTATATGTTTGTAAATTAACATAATGAATACATTTTATTTTTATAAGTGTTCTAATGACTAAAAAGAAAAGAAATATATATCTTAATATAATACTACTCTTATAGCTTAATAATATTCTTATTATAATTTGAACACTTTTATTTATCCTTCACTTCGTCTACATCACTATCAATAACATTTACCTGAAGTGGTTGCATATCTTTTTTGTCGAGTGAATCAGAGGCAGTAGGAGAGGCAGTAGCAGAAGCAGTTGGAGAGGCATTTTTCACATTGTTTTCTTGTTGTTGATTGGTGCTATTAACATTTTTCTTTGATCGGATTTCAGACATAATCTATTCAAACACATGAATTAGTCTTGTAAAACTGAAGTTTAAAATTAGATAGAAATTAGTTACAATAATTGAGTAATTTATGTCAATATTAAGAGGCAATAAAGTTATAAAAAATTTTAAATACTCTAACGTCCTTTAAAATTAATACATAAATAATAACATACAAGGAGCTCTGACAATATTCTTTAATTTTTCTAACCTAACATTTAAATTATGTAATAGATCAATTGACTATAATGCTAAAAATAAAAGAATAAAATGAATATTTTTAACATAAAATTTGCTATGTTGTAGGTTTAGGAAAATGGAAATAGCACATTAATGGAAATTACGCATTTTTAAAAAACATACGTTTTTAAAAAATACACTAAGCATTTTTGATATTTCATTCAAAATATACTGTTAATCAATAGTAAATTTAAATTTGAATCCATATTCATACATAAAATAAACAAATTAATATAATATAAATACCCGATCATGCAAATTTTGGAAATCTGAAAGCTGATCTTTCAATGTTTGGTTTTCCTCTAATAATGAGTGCATTTGAACCTTCAATTTCAACATTTGCTTAGGATCTTTCTAAAAATTGATAAAGAATTATTATAAAGATTTTAAAAATAAAAATATTGTGCATGCTCAACTTACTTCATCAAAATTGAAGTCGTCAGTGAAGATTGTTTGATTTTGCAATAATTGATTTTCAAGATCTGCAAGTTTCTTGTAAAGTGATACGCGATATTTGTTGGTTATATCTTTTGAAGATGTACCTAAAATTTAATGAGTTTTTTATTTAAAAATGTTGTATAAATACTTTTTTTACATTAGCGAATTCAATTTTATGTATTAAGAAGATTTTATTTGTGAAAAATATTAATTACTAAGAGATATAAATATACAATAGTAAATATATATAAAATGAAAACTAAATTTTCTAAAATTTAATTATTGGATTTTGCAAAATTATCAGAAAGTTTTTGATTTGTTATATTAAATTGTTTACAAAATATTTCTATAATTGAAAATAATCTTGATAATGAATAATTTTAAAATAGATACTTGACAAGACCGCAGTATTTACAATGACATGTATGGTAATAGAATAAACTTTAACTATACTAAAATTATTATTTTATGAATATTAATATTAATATTGATATTATTTACACGAAAACGCATTAAACCAACTATATGAAATAAAATATACCACAAGTTTTTTTTTTTTTGTTTGAGAAATAATAATTTTGTTCCGTGTAAGAATATAGTAAATAATATAAAATGGTAAATATGCTTATGAAGGTAGACGCAGCCCCCTTATCCACCTGAAATTCATGTGATTTTTAAATATATTGTGTTATATTATATGCTCCTGACTTAATGCCTAATATATATATATATATATATATATATTGTATTAATATACATATTACTCGTTAGTAGTTTGTACTACACCTCTTCGAAATGCAACAATGATTTTTGTTTGACTAGCTTTAGACTCACGGGGTCTTACCTTTTGATTCATCCGAAGTGTCTTCCATCAATTTCTGTTTCTTGGTAATTTCTAGCAATTTGTCGTTAGTTTCGTTGAGCCTTTTATTGTCTTTTTCCAATTTTGACTGTTGTTGTTCGAGTTGTTCTATGGCTTGACTCATGGTGGTGAACAGCTGTAAAAAAATAATAATAATATCATATTTTAGAATTAGTTTATTAGGTATACATTATGTTTTCGTTCAATTAATAAAATAATATACGATTAAACATTCGTGACTTTATTCGCGATTAGTCATTTATGTAAAGTTGGTTAACGTATAACACTTAAAACAATACGTAAGACTCACATCCTTAAGTGTTTCAAAATTTTCCTCTATCTGATGAGAGTTAGACGTCATGATGTAGCCGCAATCACGCGAATATACAAATATGTAGAATATTTTTTAACGTAGACTTTTATTAAAAATACACCACGGCAGTCTATAATTTATTGGGAATGAAACAATTGTATGAAACGGACGGATAGCTGTATGAAATGTACTATTGCAACTTCACTGCCTGTGGTATACACTAGGTAGGCAACCACGGCATATGCCTAAGTATCACGCACGTCTACACGAAACAGTCGCACAGGCGATAATAACGAAAATAATAATACATACGACGTCCGTCGCGGTTGTAGTGCGTTACATAGGCCTAAGCATAATATATTTCTACTATTATTATTATTTGAAAACATTTCATGGTTTTTTTTCCTCCGTGTCTTCCTACCTATCTTCTACCCGCCGCCGCGCGGTTGGAATATTCGTCTATTGCCCGCGCTGTAGGTACCGCTATTATAAAATAGTATACCTATAGACGTACATAGGCATCTACTCGCAGCACGATGATTACGCATCCCCTCGCCGCACTACGGTCCTCTACCCGACAAATGTGTGCCCCGCCGCGCAGTGACCGTTCTATAATATCATTTTGAATTAAACAATAGTTGGCGCATAAACATACTACGCTATATACGTACGTACATAGTATATACACGCTCACCTACTATGTACGCGCGCGTTTTAAGTCATAACCGTGGAGCAATAGTGTGTGTACTGAATATGTACAGGAAGTGTAAATAGATAGATGATACTGCAAGATACGAACGCGCGGGCACATAATATAGGTATATATATGTATTTATTATATTAGTGTATATATATATATGTACGTCGCGATCGAGTGACGGGTGAAGTCTCCGCCTTTCGTTCTCTCCAGCTATATGTGTATATGCATCGTGTATAATTCGATTTCAAACCTGTCAGATGAGCCTGCAGGAGGTGTAAAAATTTGTTTTTTAAATTACATAACGTATTCACTAGGTATACAAAACGATTGCGTAATATTAAAATAATATTATACATGTACGGAAACACGGCAGTATGCTAGGGAAATGATCGACCGAACTGATATTTGTCACTTGTTGATAAGAATATATAAGTATTACGGAACGGGTTAAAAAATTGATATCTTTAAGTAACTATTGTAGTATATTATAATGGGTAATTATACTGGTATACGCAAGTTAAACGTTACAATTTTAATATTGGATTATTCGTGTAGTTTGACTTTAGATGAAATTTAAAAGCTTAGAATTTAATGTGTTGAATTGTTTTTATTATACTTTGGTGTTGTATAAAGACTTTCAAAATGCATTTCAAACATACATAAATCATTTTTTTATTTTATATATTTGAATACTATTTGTGCAAATGTAATAAGTACATATATATATGTCATACCTATGAACTCGGATATGTTCAACAGGTATTTAAAAAGTATAAAATATATAATTTAAATTTACATAATAGGTACCAATAACACATTTAAATATCATAGGACATAATATAGTATGTTATTTGATATTATTTATTTTTAGTATGAAGTAAATAAGTCATTATTACTTTTATTTGTTTGAAATGTCCATCCACACTGTAGTATCCAAATTACGAGTAGGTAGATATTAGGTATTTAATACTGATTTTAATGAAAACACAATTCGCATCAACAAAATTATTACCGAAAAATAAAATAAATCACCCAAAATTAATAATTTAAGTATTCAATACCAATTATAGTAAGTTTGACGTATTTGAAATACAATAAAATAAAAGTACTAATAAATAATTCAAAATGTGTATTAATAATAAGTAGCACACACTCAAATTAGACAAATTAATATTACTTTATTAGGTTGTATTTTGCACATGAATTGACGAGTGAAAAAATATATTTTAGTAAATAGGTATTTAATAATTAAATATTGCAATAGGTATAATATTTAAAATTTAATTATTTTTGACATATTAAACTGGTTTTTTTCAAACGAACACTTCTTACTACCTATATATTTCAACAAATATATTAAACACCATTTTTTATTAACATTTTCGAAAAATTGCAATGCCACGTTTGGAATTTATCATCAACCAAGATTTTTTATAACCCCAGCAAACATTTTAAAACCTATTCTCATATTCCGTCTAATTATAGTTAGTAAATATTCAAAATAATAAGAAATATAAATTAAAAATATAATATAGTTTTTTTAGAAAAAACGATTTCAAAGGAGAGCGTATGACCATAATACAGGTTCAGATAATAATTATTTAGCACCTACTGAACTGATTTTCACTTACGGCCGCGTCTCAACAAGCATTACACCGGGTAACATATAAAAATAAAATTATACAGTTTTTATACGTATAGGCTGCCGTAGGTATCATATCTTGTTTTAATATTTCAACAATACATAATAACAATATATATATAGACATAAAGTATATACCAGCCAATAATACATCGACACAATCGATGCAAACGATTAATACTAAATAGGCACCTATGTGGTATCTACAATACATATAGTTATATTTAATATTATTATATACGCGTAACGCACAAGTACTTATACTTGTCAGTTGTCATGACCATATACACGACGGGGGCACTGCGTAGTTGCAATATATTTCACAGGTAACAATGATAATAATAATAATTATTATAATTATTGTAGGACTGAAGTAAAAACTGTAGGTAAAACTATACTATTACTCCGTTTTTGTAACAACAATTAGTACCTACTAACAACAGAGTATAATAATTTTTACAATAAACATTATACAATGAATTCAAAAAGTTTAGAAAATTTAGCTTTTTTCATTGAGATCATAAAACAGATATTAATACAAAAGATCAAAAATCAAAATATTTTAATTTATTTTTGTTTTTAATAAATATTTAAAAATTTTAGTTTTTGAGTAAAAAAACCATAAGTGAACACAAGGTTCCTTGAGTTCTTATAGTATATAATACAATGACAATTTTTTTTGTAAGTAACATTAAAATGTTCATAAAATTTAATAAAACTACAAAAAATTGTAAAATTATTTTATAGTTTTTCATAAAAATTTTGACTTTATTACCTATAAGGTTTGAAATTTGATGTAAGATTCTAAACAAGTTTAGTTTATTAATTGTAAATATATAAACCATTTTTAAAACTTTAAATGTTTATAAAGAAATTTTAAATCACAAAAGTTATAATTGTTTCAATAGTTGTAAGAATTGTAAAATACAAGAATATTGAAAAAATTTTTGATAATTAAAATTTATCTACTACAATTTAAATTATCTTAAAATCAATTGTATATCTTTTATCATAATTTGAATTTCAAGAATATTTTAAAGTATTGACAATTTGTAATTTTTACTTGAAAAAACAGTAAATTTTTTACAAATAAAAAATTATTTTTATGACAAATAATTTAAAAAAACACACATATACTGTTGTATGGTATCTTTTTTTGATTAATTTAAATAGTCAATTAAAAATTATACATAGTACTTGGTAAAGTTAATTTATTTATTATCACCTAATTAAAAACTAAAATTTACAAGTTTCAGTTCAATTAATATTTATTTATAATTTTGATCTTTAAGAAATTCAAAATTAGTTAAATATATATTATTTTTTATGTATTGATATACATTATGATGTATAAGATATATATATCTTCATTCTTTAAAAAACTTTTATTTTATTTTTATTTTTTGTACCATTACAATAAATTAAAAAGTTATTTTAAAATTGTTTTATTATACTAAAAACTGATATATTTTTTAAAAGATAACGATTATTGAGATAGTATTAATAAGTTTTATGCATTGCAAAATTATCAAAATACTTATGCTAGAAATAAGGAATTTAAACTAAAATGGTAGGCAAGTGAATACTCCTCTGCTGTACATTAAATATTTATTAGAATTAGTTTTAAGTTAATCATTATAATAGATTTTATTAAATTTCAATTCAATGATAAATAATGGAAAAATATTATAAACGAAGATTGTTTAAATTTTGGTAACCGTGGTTACAAAACAATTATTTTAATAATATTGGAATTGCAGAAAAATTCCTGTTTTCTCTTAATTTTTTGTTTGATAAATTAATTATAACAAAAGTAATGAGAATTTCTAACTTTAACCTTTTTAAGGTACTAACTAAATTTAGTTTTCTATTTAAAATCCCTCTCAAAGTGAAAATTGAAGAATTTTATCCAATACTTATTGTATATACAGATTAAACTCACATCATTGTAAAATCAATACATGTCGTTCATTGCTTTGCTTAAAATCTAAAAGACTAATTTAAAAATAAATAAATCCCATAAGCCATAATTCAAAAATTAAGTTTTTTCTTTAAAAAAATTAGTAATTTAAAATTGCAAATTAGACTGGTTATTATCTATAAATTATTGGAATGATAAAACAATCTTGTAATTTAGTTAAGTATAGGTTAAATTAACAGAACATTTTTTATAAATATATAAATTTTGTTTATAGTGGCACGTTTACAGGGTAAGCCGACTAACTCCGAGCCTACCCACTTTTTATTTTGAATGTTTGGTTTTTTTTTTTTTTTTGTCACAAGTAAAAATGTTATTATTAATATTATTAATATTTATTATTGAATATCATTATTATGATATCGCTGATACTACAGTAACTAAAAACAATATAAAAAGATGCTGTGCGTCGTTACACATCTATGATGGCAATACTATCACTATCAGCTTATAGAGATTGGAAGTTTTGTCCATCATCTAAATGTCGTCTTGCAAAGAGGTACAAATTACAATGCCACTGTTACTGATAATTTTTTAAAAATAAACATTTTGTAGTTATTCTTGTTGAATTAAGACTGAAGCTATAATTCTTGGTATTTAATTAATATTGTTAAAAATTGTTTACTTTTTTAATATTCTTAAAATAAAAATTAAACCATGTTATAAAAAGGATAACAGCCAAAATTGGAAACCCAAAAATGCATTACTCATTTCCATATGATAGGATAAATCTAAATCTTTCCTAATAGTTATAAACATATTATAGAATAAAATGGGCCTATCCAATTATTTTGTGCTGGACACGCCACTGTCTGTTTATAAAGTATTTATTTTGTTTTGCCTATATGTGTGTACATATATATAATGAGAAACAAAATAAAATAAAATATTTCTAAACCATACCAATCATTATTCATTACAAGGATCTAGATTTATAAATAACTGAAAACTGAGAAATGTGTCATAATAATTATGATATGCAGATTATTGAAAATTTCTGAACAGTTTAATAAATACAAGATCTAGGTATGGTAAGTATTTTAATAATTTATAAAATATTTGTATTGTTGTGATGACAAACACATTTTAATACACTAATATCTTTTACTAATATATTTATCATGATCGCAATAATTCAATGACAGTATTT